AGGTTGTGCACATTTGTAAGGTTACCTGTATGACCCGATGAGAAATTGTTGGATAATTTTAAAAATATTTAGGACCACACGTTGTATATTAAAATGTGTGGTGCTATTATTTATAGGATATTAGTCAATTAAAGTGATATGTTAAATCTATATTGTGACTAACAGGTATTAGGTTTCATGGAATTAAAGTGTAGAGACGGGATGTTTGCTTTAGATTCATGATTGGCCGATTTGAAATAAATGAAAGATAATGAACATTCATTATCTTATGGTTATATAGGGTCATGGTCCCCAATTTGTTGTATTCTTCAAGATTTTCTGTATCCTCATCAATAGAGATCGAAATTGAAGATAATATCACAAATCAAATTGGAAGATCATAACCTTTTCGGCAAACAATCAGATTATCATGGATCTATGTATGTTTTATTTTATTGTTTTCTCGGATTTCAACAAGGAGTAAGATATTAGGGTTCATATGAGAAAATAATTTATTTAAAGCATATGGATTAAATCGATAATTCTTATTTTTTTTTCTATCATAGATCAACAAGGTGGAGATTGTTGTTTGACCTGCCTCTCTATTCTGTGGTATTGAGCATTTGTTGTCTTTGGGCTTTGATGTTTAATGGGACTACCGATTTGCTTTGTTTAAATTGATTAATCTTGGCCTCAAACTTGTCATGCTCTGGACCGTTGGATTGGATAGTTTAAGGGTTGTTTTTATAACTCCCTTTCTCTCTAGATTCTTTTATGAATTGTTGCTATTCTAGGGTTTTCTCTTTTGTCTTCTCTCGAGTGATTCCTCGCTGTTCATCTTCTTGAAATCTCATGTTTTTATCTATGTACATGTCTTAGTGATATTCTTAGTGTATTTTGTATACAGTTAGTGATTGTGAGGAGAAATATTGTATAAGAGAATAGAGAGAAAACATCGGTGAAGAAATCATTTCTTCATACATTTGTACCGTTCTTTGCGATTCTTAGTGGATTCGAGCGTAATCTACTTAATAGATGCTCAACGGGTGAGTAGGTTGTGTAAAGCTGAACATCCGGGCCCTAAGGGTGAAAAATCTATGTGTTTTTACTTTCTGCAATTTTGTTTCTTTGTTCTTTGTTTTTGGTATAAAGATTTCAATTCTGAGACCAACAATCTATAATAGTTTTATCGAAGTAATTGTTAAGTTAAAACTCAACAAAATTTAAACCATCGGTATGAATTTCGTGTTTGATTTTCCATAGAGAATGATCTTTGTTTTCATTGATTGTTTCTTGAAGATGGTACACTATTGCCTGTATTGCTATTAATGTGGCTTTGTTATTCTTTCTAGATGCGTATCGCCTACTTTTATCATGTTCGATAGCTTTCTCAATCATTTTCGGCAAAGCTTGTGAAAGCCTACTGTTGGGCTGTGATGCCAATTGTCTAATAAATTGGTCTTGGCCGAAACCTGAACCCATGAGTGCAAAGTAACTGTTTGGAAAAAAAGGCCAAAAAAAAGGACGATTTTACTGTGGTACTTAATAGCCACTTTTAACTTCTGAGATGCTCTGGTCCGTTGGATCAGATTTGAGATCAATGGTTGGCAGAAAGGTTATAAATTTGTTCCTCTATTGTCTTATTAGGTCATTTCATCTGATTTCTATCGTTCATGCTTCTTGGCTTCCATAATTCATTCATTTCTTCTCCATTCTTCTTCCAAACCTCTAATTAGAAGTTGTTCTTTCTGATTGTCCTGAGTGAGATACAATCCTCAGTGTCTAAATTTTCATTTGTTGTTTTTTGAGTCTCAGTTGCATCCTTTAATTGATAAGAGTTTTGGTTAGGCTTTTCGAGGTCAAACAGAATGGTACGCCTTGGTGTTATTCATTGTGTTTTGTGTCAGAAATCATATGCTGGAATTT